CGTAAATAATACGGCCCTTTATGACCGACATCTAATAAACACACTGATATCCGAAACGTATTATAAACAAATACCTCAATGTCGTTACGATTTAAAACTAAAGGCGATAAATTACTTCCAGACGTTTTACAGAGCTCGCATCGAATCAATATCTCGTTAATTCGTTTATTTTTTGTGATTTCTCGCTTTTTCCTGCTAGTTGAACGTGCGTTTGAATTCTAATATCATCTTAGCCACATAGTTCCATAAATGTAGGTTTTTTTAAGGGTGGAAAATCATCGAATGACTCCTCCCGCCTCACCTAGGCAGATCAGATCAGCCCTATTGGGCCCCATCCGTGGTGGTCTGATGGCTCTATGAGGTGCGCGCGGATCGCGACGCGCCGTACGCTCGGGTCTGCTTCTGATCGGGCGGCGAGTCACCCATGCTCGCCATTCGCAGGCCTGCAATAAATCTAGGTTTAAACTTTAAAGGGGGTAACAAACAACTAATACCCTTAAAAAAAATAATAACCTTTAATGATCTTATCAATAATCTATGCATTGATTAAAATTTTTCATAGATTGCGATCGGTATTAGGTATGTGTAAACAATTCTGTTCAAATTTGTACATGCCGCATAGAAACCTGTAGAAAACAAAAGAAAAAATATTGCTCATAATAATTGGTTTATTTTCCGGAAAAGAGTTTAAGAGAGATAAGAAATTTATCCCCCAGCAGTATTTTAATTTCTCTTGAGGATTGTGGAAGGCGTGACCTATTTTAGCGTTTACCCGCTTTATTGCTTAGGGGCGGTCTGAGGGTACTACAACAAACGTTAGCCCCGCGGCCATTTTGTTTTCTGTTACCAATTCAACAGGTGGATTTCCGAATTCTTATATTTTTACATACATCCTCGAAGTTGTTGCTCCATATACGGTAAAATTTGTAAAATTAAGGGCGAGTTGTTATCAATATCGGCCCTACTTATGTTATAAACCTGCGGTCGGATTCCCAAGCTGCCTGCTGACCCAATAAATGTAAAAGAGAGACTATACGACTATACGTACTTTATGCAGTACTGGACATCTTCCGGCTGACGATGATGATGATGATCAGGTACAGTCATTTCGGATTCATATCGCAAACTACATATTGCTAAAGAGTTTGCGACTATTTGACCAAGTCAGCAGATCACTCAACTATTTAAGTAGGTTAGCATATTTTGTACAATTTGGAAATTGAACCAGGGGCACTGAGCTACTACGAGTGATGTAACACTCGACCGACGTGTGAGGGCAGCAGTGTTTGTCATTGATACACACGTCAACATTCCGAGATGAAGATGGGGTTGCTGATCGGGTTGACAAATCGCAGTTTAAAAGGTCAGCAGGCCGTCTTAGACTACGCTGGGGCCCATGAGCATACAGTAATTAGGGCCCCTTGGAATGCTTTTTGCTTTTTATAATAATATTATAAAAAGCAAAAAGCATTCTTTTTATATATGTGGGTGCATTTCCAAAGAAATAAGTTCACATACACATAACACCCTCACCCACAATACCCCCATTGCATTCGTGTGGGAGTCGAATCCGCAACACGTTGCGCGGGAACCGAGTGCCGTGCCGTAGTAGAAATTGTCAGTCTTTCAGGGCCTCCTGAGGATGGGAGCCCTGGGCACGGGCCCCGAGTATACTCTTATGGTAAAAACGGCACTGAGGTGACAGGTTTAGTTTATTAGAGAGTGGGATCGGTATCCGTGGGAAAATTATGGTTAGTGACAAATTTATTCTACTCTACTGTCACTACACTCCGATGTTTCTCATTAAGCCTAAAAAAGCAGGTCAGTAATCAAGTTGTTAGCGCGTCATGACAATTTGTTTGGGATTTTACCTTTATGCGCTGTCTTTAAATGAGACTTGTTGCATTGAGAGCACTCTTGAACAGTTGAACTGAAATGAAACTGTACTCTGTATGGCCCCCGGCACAAACCATGGCCAGATTTTACGTGGTAGGCGTATAATCGCGTTTTGTGTATTGTTTGCCCATTATTGTATGGTTATTGTTGCCATTATTAAATCATGTTACATATTAAAAAGTAAGTAAATGTAAGTAACAATAAGAAAAGGTATTTGTATTGAAATTTAACGTGACAACAAACATATCTTCTGTTTATGCTGTGTATTATACAAAGTTTATATTCGTTTTTTTATGGGGGGAAAATCATCGTATGACTGCTCCCGCCTGGGTGAGGCGCGAGGGAGTGTCAGATTCTTACTGACTAAAAACCACCCCGTTCCTTCTGCACTTCGAGCCGGAGCTCCGGTAAGCCGTTAGGTTCTCCGCGACAAAGTTTATATTAGTTTAAGTTCTTATAAGTACCATCAAAATGGAAGTACCGGTAAGTATGGGCGTAACCGTAGACAGACAGTTCGTTAAGGAAATCCGACATTCTTTCGAAGTAAAAAGTGTAATTTAATTATATTTCTCTTTGTTTATTAACATTCTCTGTATGTATGTACGCACGTATCTATTTCATTTGCTCCCTAAACCGTGGCTAACTAGGTAAACCGTGCAAAAACCGGCCCGGGTAAATATTGTGACGTCAAAAATAGGGTCACTTGCACCGATACTGGGTTAGGTTAATAGTTCAATGAGTTTGGGAGTGTAATATCGATAGTCAGGGAACGAGGGTAGGAAATGAATTAGTGAAGTGAGTAAACGAGTTTGAAGGGTTCTTTGTTATTAAAGTCAACTGATTCTTAGATTGATCGCGCCTTTTTTCTATAAATACTCTTTAAACAATGCACATATTTTGAGAGAGTTCAGTAGTTGTATAAGTGCTACTTCAGAATATGTGATCTTGCAGTTTATGCGTTCGGTAACCCGAATCGCGAATTAGGTAAAGAAAATGCACTTACATCATAATTACCTGTATTTAAATAGAAGAGATTTTAATGAAGTTGTCTACAAAGTACTTACTACTTAAATAAAGAAAAACGAAGAAACTGACTGGGGTATGTCTTGAAACGGTAGCGTAATTGCGATTCCTAAGCCGTCGACCAATCGTGGGGATTATGACAAACGCCTCCCTCTACAGTAAGTTCCTAGAGGACGTATCTGATGAGATGCTGATGAAAATGAAGACCGACAGAGTAAAACAAAATAAATAAAAAGATAAACTTGGTTCCATTTCTTTTGGTCTTGTTAGACGACCTCAAATAGAGAAGACTGACCTTTTTTTACAGGACAAACGAGTCTTTTCCTGCCTTAAGTGAAGAGAGAGAGTTTCAAACTCAGAGTGACCAAAAACTACCCTGTTCCTACTCCTGCCTTGACCCGTAGCGGCTAAGGTAAGGCGATAGAGAGCGCTAGACTCGTACTGACTAAAAACCACTCCGTTCCTACTCCCGCTTCGATGGAACCCCGGTAACTGAGTAGGCCGTCTGCACTCCGGTAAACGGACCACTTCACGTTCAAAATATTTTTTTATCTGTTTTTTATTTAAACTGTCAAACACCAAGCGGTCACCGGTGACCGCAACCTATTGTTCTTTAATTGTGTCTATAATGTCGGTACTTACTCAACGAGTTAAGGGTTTTTATATTTGATATGCTAACCCCATCATACCTTTTAACAAAATGTAACCTATCAAATACCTACAAAATTATTGCTTACAACAAAAAGAAAGGAAATTGAGTTCAGTCTTGTGTGGAAGGGAAATTTTCCGGATTGATTTCGATACAGATAGCAATAGAAGTTATAAGTTCCTTCTAACTGTAAGTGCGTATAAATAGTATTGGTTAATTTTAGCTTAGAGCAACGACATGTAATGTCTAATAATAACCGGACGGTCTTCCTATATGATAGGCCGAATCTGTTTTATACAATCAGCTGATGGGATTGTAATAAACATTTTTGAAATTGTACCTTAAAGTTGGAGAAAGATTATGGATTTTGCCTAATAGTTTGGACAGTTTATGAAGCTTCAAGTGGCCTATATTATGTGTAGCCTCGATAGATATTAGGCAGGTCCTTCTAATGTCAAGGAAAAATGTAAGAAGGAGTAATAAAAATAAACAAATATACGTTGACATTTAATAAGGAAGTACTATTGTGTTTTTACCTTAAATAAGCATACTTAATATTACATTTTATAAATTGATAAATATTTTTATTAAATTACTTGTCATAGTTGCGACTGTTACAATTGAAACTACTTCTTCGTTTTACTACCTATCTCAATAACATCCATTGAGGATTGGAATTTAGACGCTATCTATAGCAGTTGTGTTTGAGCACCAACTGGACATACGAGACCTAATTTGAAAAAAAAACATATCGGAGTACAAAATAAACTAAGTATTTTACTTCTTTATCATAAATGTGGTTCGATTTTTGGATCAAGCAAGAATAATAAAACGCTACTTAATTGTTTATCAGTGAATTATTTTTATGTGGTAAATGATTAATATCTTTGCTGAATGCACATTGCAAAAGATTTGTCTTCAAAAAGACCCCAAGTAAAGTATTTAATTACTATGTGACGTCACTAAATTAACTGCGGTCATTAGCTGTCGCCAGTCCACCGGAAAGCTTCAAGTCACCTGTCGCTCCCGACAACCGACAACTGTTTCACGCCGAGGCCTTCGACACACATGATGGAACATACGTCAATCAACAAAACTGTTTTGGAATCGAATGTAAAAAAAACATTGACGACTAAATTACATGCATATAAATTCCACATGATTAATACGCTGGAACGTTTGGGTCCAAGTGGGAGTGACCGGAGTGATGCCCGTTGGCCTACCGCCATACTCAGTCGCAGAGAGGAAGCCGATGTAAACAGGGCTATTTGCACGACTCTGATCTTGGCCAGATCTTGACCTATTAACACGCAGTGGATGTCAGTGAGTGTCGCTGCGAGTATTTATAGATTGGGGCGCTGAAGCTTTTTGTTTCGGGTTCGCGCGCAATCGGGGTACGGACGAAGTACGGGCGCGTCGCGTCGGACGTAAAATGTCCGCTAGAGGGATAAGACGGAAGAAATCGTCGCTGTCTGAAGTGAAAGTCGCTGTGATCGGTGCGCCATCTGTCGGGAAAAGCGGTACGTTTAGTGCAGTGATTATTTATAATTTGTAAAAAATAAGCAGTGGTGTTATAGTGCATTGTTGAAAATTAAAAATTGTTTTATTGATATTTTGAATTTTGGCGGTTTATTTGCTCGTGGGTACTTTAAATATTTTTTGTTTAAATGTGATTCATCGACACACGTTTCTTGTTATTTTAGTTTAATATAAAAATAATCGTGGATACGTGTAGGTACGACTTTGCTTTCTAACACCACTGCTCAAAAACACTGATGAACTTCAAGTGTTTTTTTATCTCAATGCCCTGAATAGGTAATTTCAGATCGTAAAATGTAACTAATAAAACATTTATAATCGATGAGTTATAAAACAAGGGAATGTATCATTCGATGATATTATACAAGACGTTACGCTAAACATTTGCAGACATCGGAAATAAAAACATAATAAACTTTTTTTAGCTGTTGCGATACGCCACGTTTTAATTTAGAAGTCGTTCCTTTATTTGTCTTGGTTTTCTAATGCTTTAAACTATTTGCGAGAGTTTTATGAAAAAATACCTATGTACTATATCTATCTACGTACGTTTTAACATTTATATATAAACAATGGAAATACCGGTTCTATTCAATCGTATTGTTACGCATAACTCCAATATCAATACCAAATACTATATAAAGGATAAATACTTACATACGACTAATTAAATACGTACAATTTACTCTTTGTTTGCTTACAAATAAAAATCATTTACACATTACGTTCATTTATGACATACAGCAAGTTGATTGTTATTTATATAACACGTACCTACGTCTATTGAAGTGAGATACAATTAAATACTTTCTAGACCACCACAGATGGGGCATAACAGGGCTGATGCCGATACGGAGCCGCGGAGAACCTAACGAGTTACCGGGGCTCCGGCTCGAAGTGCAGGAGAAGGAACGGGGTGGTTTTTAGTCAGTAAGAGTCTGACATTCTCTTCCTCACCCAGGCGGGAGAAGTCATTCAATGATTTTCCCCCTTAAAAAAAAGTATTACAATCCCCGGAGTAAAATTTTAAACTGCTACAAACAGTTCGATTAAAACATCTCAACTTAATAGGTCGTACGTACGAGAATCTAGGTCAAAAATGAAGTAGCTTTTAACATCTGTCAAAACTACAATTCTAAGTGGCAAAGCTGACTTCAAAATATTTCACATTTACACGGAAATCGAGGAAATCAATTCAATAACCTAGTTTACAATAACTAGAACAGTTTGATAAGCTTTTCAAGTTTTGGGTCATAACTGTTGTAAGGACTTTGAAACCTTTGGGAACCCATTCTTAAGACACCGTCATCACACATTTGGCTTGTGGGGACGGCATTTCAGAATACATATGTCATCACACTCACCACTCCTACTCTTTTCTTGGGCATCTAAGACCCGATGACTGAACATTTAACAGGCACCGAGTGGCAACGCTCTCTGATAAACCTGAATCTTTTACAGTGAAATCTTCAATCTACCTGCCGCGTCAAAAATTATGGTAAACCATATTTTTGAGAAGGAGTTTCGCCTCGCTGGCTATTACAGATGTTGATGATGAAGATGATACTGAGACATTTCATTTGGATCCAGGACTACAGTACAAAAAGGGTGTAGAACTGATATGTTGACAGAAGTGCTGCACTAGACAAACCTATGCAGACCTTATAAAGATCCAAAATAAGGGCGAGATAACATAACATTACATAACATAACATCACACCTTTTTATCCCCGAAAGGGTAGGCAGAGGTGCACATTACGGCACCTAATGCCACTGGACAATGTAACACCACTTTTCACTATTTATGTTATGAGAGTCCCATGTAATAGGGGGTGAGCCTATTGCCATATACCGAGCACAATTCCAGACTCCGTGCTACTACAGACATTTTTTTAAAAACCCAGTACCTAATGCTTTGCCCGACCCGGAATCGAACCCGAGACCCCTTGTCCGGCAGTCGCACTTGCAACCACTCGGCCAACGAGGCAGTACAGATAATTTTCTATACTAACGATTAGCATAAAAAGTGAAGAAGCAAATGAATTGTAATTGAATTTGAATCTGTGATCGAATCAGGATACACCACCTAGATATGGTCTTGCTTCTGGCTATTCATATGAGAAAAAAGTGCATATTTGAAACACAAATGTGTTTCATAAACATAAGCCTTTGTCTCAGGGATAGGCAGAAAGTATAAAGGGTTCTATTATATTCATTTACATTCATAATGCAACGTCATTGATGACATTTTCACTGTGTTTCTTTTATGGTTATGTGACGTTTACGCTAGCAATTATTGAGTTAGTAATTAGTATTATTTTAAAAATAAGAAGAATCTGATAGTCTTTCTTTCTTTCATCTTTGGTTTGCATTCGATTTTGTGAAGAGGCAGGTCTATTGTTTTGAACCACATATAGGATAGCAGTAAGCCTGATCGAAGGAAGAAAGTTGAGCGTAACTGGCGAACAGGCTATAGTGTGGGTTGCAAGTAAGCGGAATATAAAATCAGCGCCTCGTCACTGTTCAGTGTTAAATAAGAACAATACTTATCCCGCATTCATGATTCGTGAAAGAATGTTATGTACCTAACGTGATGTTGTGTTACTGTAATACGTGTTTATGTACCTAAACCCTAAACAATTCCAAATACCATACATTTTACCGTGAACCACGTAAAATGTGAATGAAATGTAGCTCATTTGAGTGCAAATTTCATGGCATATTAACGGCTGGCGTGCCATAGTATTGTCAGTATTTTTAGACTCATTAACGGGCCTTTAAGACTGGACTCGTGTACACACGGTACAGATGACGCATGACCGCCGAATTTCCGCATTGTTGAACAAACGTGACGAAAGGATGACCAGGGTGTCACTCCGGTGAAACTCACCGTGCCCCTTTAAAGGGCAGTGCGAAGTCAGTGGAAAAATAAGAGGATTATAGAATAATTTGGAATATTTTGTTAACTATATCATCGGCCACAGCATCACTTACCACTAGGCGAGTTCATGACCAAATATTGACCTTGTACCTATAATTGTGGTTAAACTTATTTTAATTAAGAAATTGTCAATTAAAAAAAAGTTGGATCTTATTTCTTAGTTGTATGCAGATCTAACAAGGAACTGATTGTACGTAAAGTAAAATAAACTTTAAGACAATACAGACAGTATCAAAAATACAATAGAAGAATGTTTCACAATTATCGTAATTTCAAAAGCAATAAATCGTGTGGTGTTAGCCATCACAGAGGAACGCTACATTTTAATTGCTGCAAACGTTTTGTACATGAATCTAGTTTAAATACAGCAATGTAATAAACATTATTTATGATGCCGATTACAGTAACTAGACTAGACAATACGAGAAATAAAATTTTAGCCGCATTTTTAATGAGATCTTTCTTTCTCATGGCCTTTTCCCAATCTAATTGGGGTCGAAACCGAGTCTTAGAAAGCACAAATAAATTGTGAATCTGCATATTAAGTAGTCACTGCACTAGGGTTCCTAAATATTCTCTTTACTTAGATAATTTAATAATAACCTGCATTGCTCAAATGCTCAGCGATTGTTATGCCAAGCGAATGTTCAGGAATTTCTTTGGTAGCCAAAAATTACAGATTACTAAAATCTTTCTTGATAACCTACATTCCTGAAGAATGTTCATGACCTTGAAGTTTATGCTTTGGTTCATTTCATTTCATCGTTGCGTTGAATTATTGCCATTACGTGCACTGTACATAATATTTTTAATAAGCAACACATTTCAGTGCATATTATTTTGACCCGTCCAGATACCGAAACCCGACCCCATTCCTGAGCCTCAGCAGACATTGCGCTGCCAGATGCCATTGTCACAATTCAAAATAAAATTAAATAACTTTAAGCTTAAGCTAAATATTTTGGCGTTTTGTATATTATAAAGATAGTTATACAGTTTTTTGCTTGCGTAAAAACTTTGATGAAATAATGTTAGCTACTTCCTAATAATATAACCAACTACAAAGTCTTTATTTAAAGAGATAAAGTAGGTACATACATAAAAAGCGATCTACTGACTCAACTGAGCACTAGCTACAAATCTTTTCATTTCTTAGTTCTTTACAAACGACTGTTTCTTTGGCTTCCTTTATATTCAGTCTAGATCGATTGGAAGCACTTGCTACTTCATTTTCTTCTTTCTGAACAGAACGTCACTGACTTGAATAGAGTAATCAAATGAAGTCAGTCTGTGTGATAAAACTTCGGAAAAATTGCAATTTTTCATAAACATTTATATAGCACATAGCTATGCCCTCGGAGAACCTAACGGGTAACCGGGGCTCCAGCTCGACGTGCAGGAGAAGGAATGGGGCGGTTTTTAGTCAGTAAGAGTCTGACACTCCCTCCGCCTCACCCAAGCGGGAGCAGACATTCGATGATTTTCCCCCCTTAAAAAAAAAATACTGGGGACAGGTACCTAGTTCATCGAATTATAAAGCTTTTCGTGTAGTTTTTACAAAAGGCTATGCAACACAGTTGTGTTGCATATTTAACTAAAAGTTTTTAGTTAAAAGCCGATGTGCAATTCAGTTACACTACTTAATTAAAAGCAAACAGGGCGGCATTCGCACGGGGAATGTACAAAATTCTCTGGTGAACTCAAACGAATTTAAATACTGACTTTTTCACTGCGTTAGTATGTGTAACTAGTATTTCAACGATTAACTTTCAATTCAATTCTATAGATGTACAAAAATTTCACAAACATTATGCTTTTGTTTATTTTCACATTATATACTAAAATGAGAGATTGACCTTAATTTCCCTAATAAGAGGGATCGCGTCTATCAATTAACTTTTGTGCCCACATTCTACACTATAAATATTTAATCGAATATGTTCCAACACTGAACTAGGTAGATCAAATGGTCAAATTCATCACTTTCCCAGTAAAGTTTGAGCACTATGCCAAAGTTATGACGTATGTTGAATTAGTTGG